GATGACATGTGGTGTGAATTGGAGCTATAGAAATAAACTGAATAGAATTGAAGCAGGCTGAAAAAAGGAAACATGAAGCCTTTAACGACAATAGCTGAGCCTCGTTTCCATCAACCATCTGGAAATGTTGGGTTTACATTTTTCAGGCCTACAGTCTAACATGCAGCAGTGACTAAAACATTAAGATCATTGAGACAGAAGAAGAATCTAGAAGAACGTCTAAAACTGTGCAGAGCTAAAAGGATTAGATCGGTGTTTAAGATGTAATAATGAGAAATATAGACGGGGAAATATCTGAGCCACTAGATGGCAGCGTTACGCAGTGGGCCGATGCTGTCGTACCTTTCTGGGGGATGATGGATTTAATGTCCGTCCAGTTTCCAACACCTCGACTGGTCACTGCAGCCACCTGGAAAACATTTCTGAATGCATAACCAGCGAAGGGATAAAATAAAAAAAGGCCAAGATGGCGGGAGGGTTTCCTCACCCTGAATCTGTACAGGATGTCCGGCTGCAGCTCCTTCACCTCGGTTCCAGCTGAGCTGCATCTCTGAGACGTCCAGTCAGGAAGGCCGTCCTGGCTGTACTCCACCTGCCCACACCCACATAAAGCTATAAGCAACCAGTCTGATCAGCTTCTAGTTTATCAATCCTGCTTAGATTTTACAGCTTTGATGCATAAAGAAGAAAATATTTTTTTAATTTAATGTTTAAGTCCAAACTTTGAATTTTATCAAAGAATCAGCAGCAACTTTACAAAGTTACACATTAGTAAAAACGGGAATAAGCAGCTTAAAGTCCTGCCCTGTTAGAAACGACCTACTGTAGCAACATCCTATGTTTAGGTTAAAATCCATCAGTTGATGGCAGTAATTTTTTCTCAAAGATCAGGCTAACTGCTGTTAGGCCTCCTGTCACACCTTGCTGATTAAGCCAGCATAAGCCTGACGTCCCAGAATCTCCTAAAACGCTGGAATACGCTAAACTTTCTATGGATCTTTTCTATTCTGGTCGTAAACATAGAGTATTTGTAGCGAGTCCAGAACTTCTGTCCAACTACAGCCTAACTTCTGCATAACGCACGGCAGCTTAATGCCCAGGAAATGATGCACAAGCATCAGTTAAAGCTGCTCCCCTATGGTGCATCACTGCTCCAAAACAAAAAGAATAAATAAAAAGAAAAAAGAAAAAGAAGGTTTTTGGTGTCAGCAGATTGAGCGTCATGTCTGCTAGGAAGTGTGTTGGTGGTGGGCGTGAACGCAGGGAGGATCCATCACTCTCACCTTCTGGCTCACCCTATGATGGGGATGAAGTCTGGAGGAGAACTGACGGTTTCCTCCTGTAAACCTAACCTGACTCCGCCAGATGGATTTGCTCTGCATATCCATCTGGAAACCTTCCG